AGTTGCCTTAAAATAGCCTCTAAAATTGCAGGTGTAGTTTTGCATACTCAACTTACAAAAGCACTATTTTTCATTTCCAAGATTTTCTGGGTTCAACACCTGCAAGTGTGTGCAAACTGTGCAGAAAGGCAGCCTATGTGCCAGGATCACAACATGGTATAGGCGGTGGTAATCTTGGATATGAAAAACCACTGCCAATTCTTTAAGCTGCTTTTGAAAATGTGACCCCATTTGTCTTCCAAAACCCAAGCACAACTAGTTATTCCTCTGGTTTTTTGCCTTGAATTGCATCTAGGTACCGGGAAGCATATGGTATGATTCTGGTATATAAGACATTTCACACTTTGTTGTAAGTTCCCATGCCATTACTGTTTTCACAATACAGCTTTACATGCATAAACATGCCCTGCAGAACTGAGTAACTTGTGTTGAAGTCAATGGGTATGTGTGTGGTAGGACTGCAGTACAGCATTATTAATCCTCTGTATTGCAATATTATAGGTAAATATACTATATGGTAGAAAGCACAGCTAGTAGGTGCTGCACAATCATCATAGCTGGAGCTACTGTAAACATTCTCATCAGTCTCTTAATAACAAAAAAGAACTAGCAGTAAAGCACTCTGAAAGGCTATATAATGCAGAAGTGCAGAGTGGGATTGAGAAACCTGCTCTCAATGCTATCCCAGTTTTAAATACAGCAAAAAGAAAAACAATCAGAACACTTCATTGTCTATAATATCTGTCTAAACTTTAAAATATTTTAGTAATTTGGTCACCGTGTAAAGTTCAAAGTTTACATGCAACTGGGCTGATGAACCATCCAATAAATTTATTCATTTAATTACTTATTTGAAAGATTTAAATATTGTCTTTGTACTGCACCTGAGTCCTATATGAATTCTTTTATCTACATTTTGATTTACTGATCTACAAACTACTGCAGTATTGCCAATCACAAGCATCACAAGTCATTTCCCACCCCCATAAAAAGCATGAGTTTATCTTAAAAATGCGGAATTTAGAAATAAAATAATAAATAATTATTTTGATTTGAAGAATTGAGGTCACATTCTCAAGCTTTTCACTACAACCATGAGCTAAGAACTTTTTTTTTGTTAAATGAAAGCTGAGATTCTCAGGCAATAACCCCATTCCAGCATCTGGATCACTACCAACACCCCCCACCCCCCCCCAGGTATTGTGAGACTCGACAAAACTGCAAGAGTTGGCAACGCATTCTTGCAGCCCTTACCACACGAGCATTTTCACTTCAAGGGTACTACAGGCATGAGTAAATGCTGAAGGGTTGGGCTGCATATTTCTGAAAAACAAAGACACTTCCTGCTATTCAGAGCATTGCTCTGTACAACTACCCTCCCTGCTCTCCTCTGCAAGAATTTCACTTCCCATCAAGGTTGTGATTTCAGCACTTGAAGGCATGTCTACTAGTTTACACTCATCCCCATCAGCAACAGATTTACTACCCACTGAAGTAGTAGTGTTCACCTCCTCTTTTTCTAGCACATCAGTCACTTCTATTCTTAAGTTTTCCATTCTCAAAATGGTTATTTCCATTCTTGTTGCATCGGGACTTTCAGTAGAATCATCAGCAAAGCTCTCAGCCCCAGCTTCCACTGGCCCAGCCTGAGTGTGATGTACTCCTTCTTCCTCCAGGTCAGATCTTCTGTCCTCAACTACATTTTCAGGTAGTTCCTGTAGTTCCAATTTGTGATCAAGACCTTCACAACTTTCCTTGTCTGTATACCAGACACTTTGGTTGGTTTCCACTTCTGCATTTGCCTCTTGAGGTCTACCCAGTTCTTTGGAAGTCTCTGAACATTCTGCTCGAGTCCCACATTGACCCTCCTCTGAGAGGATCACTACATTCACATCATCTGTCCCCAAACTGGATGAAAATGGCTGATCCATCTTGAGCTCAGTATGTTCAACTTCTTTACTTACTAACTTATCTGCTTGACCTTCTTCTTTATTTTTGCTGTTCTCATCACACTCTTCACCATGCTCCTGCAACTTTAAAATATTACATTCATTTACCACTTCTTTTTTGTTCTCAGATGGAGCAACGGCTGCTGGGTCAGCTATCACCATCAGCAAGTCGCTTATACCATTTGCACTATCAGGGGTTGTAAGGGATCTCTCCTCTTCTTGTCCAGTGTTTCCCCCAACCTCTGCCTCTACTGTATGTTCACATTGCAAACTTACCTTCTCTTCCACAGCCTCTTCTTGTACTTTACAATTTGTCTCAGTGTCTGCCCTAGCCTCTACTTTCACTATACCTTCCTTCTCGGAACTTACCTTCTCCTCCAGGGCTTCCTCTGTTTCCTGACTTTCTTTTTCTGTTTTTTCACCAATCTCTTCCTTCAATTCATTTTCACTCTGAAAACTGATCTGTCCTTCCAAAGCCCCCTTTTGTTCCGGAACTTCTTTCTCAAGATGCCATGTAAACTGCATCTCACCTACATCCTTGCTCTGCGAACATACCTTCTCTGCCACAGCCTCAACTTGCACCTGGTTATCTTTTTCTGTTTTTTTGCCAAACTCCGTCTCCACTGCATTTTTACTCTCAGAACTTATCATCTTTCCCTCCACAGTCACTTCTTGTACCTTATTTCCTTTGACATTGCTCCTGCCCAACTCCTCCTCCACAGTATCTTCATTTGGGAAACTCAGCTTCTCCTCCCTAGCCTTCTCTTGAATCTGACAAACTCCTAATGTGCAGCCTCCAGACTCTGCCTCAACTGCATCTCCATTCTGATAACTCAGCATTTCTCCCACACTCTCCTCCTGCCCCTGACTTTCTTCTTCCACGTTACCTGCAGTCCCCGTCTCATCTGCATCCTCACTCTGGGATATAACCTCCTCCATAGCCCACTTCCGTACCTGACTTTTGTTCTCAAGGTATATTTCCAACTCTGTCTCCTGCACACCCTCACTCTGTGAGCATACTCTTTCCTCTACAGACTCCTCTTGAACCAGACTCTCTTTTCCAGGGCTCCTGTCCAATTCTTCAGCCACTGTAACTTCACTCTGGGTACTTACCTCCTCCTCCAGAGCTGCCTCTTCTATCTGACTTTCTTTTGCAGTGTTGTCTGCAATATCCGCTTCCACTACACCCTGACTCCAGGATCTTCTCCTCTCTTCCACAGCCTCTTTTTGAACCTGACTCTCCTTTTCAGTGCTTTTGTCCAACTCATCTACCACGGCGACATCATGTTTTAAACTTGCCTCACACTCTTGAACCTGACTTTCTTGTTTTGTGTTCTCACCAAACTCTGCTTCCATTACATCTTCAGTCTGGGAAGCTACCTCTTCCCCCATATCCTTCTCCTGTACCTCCCTATCACTGTCAGTGTTATCTACAATACCTGCCTCTACTGCAACCTCACTCTGCAAACTTCCCTTCCCTTCTACTGCCCCCTCTGGTATGTTATTCACTTTTTCTGTCCTCTCACCAAACTCGGGCTCCACTGCATCCTCCCTTTTGGAATTTACCTGCTCTGCCCCTGTCTCCTGGTGTACATAACATTGTTTACCAGGCTGCCCTGCAAACACTGGCTCTGTTGCATTCCCACTCTGAGAACTTGTCTCTTCCACGTCTGCCTCCTCTTGAACCTGACTCTCCATGTCAATGTTATCTGCAACCTCAGCCTCCACTGCACCCTCATTTGCAGAAGTTACCTTCTCCTCCACTACTTCTTGTACCTGACTCTCTCTGTCAGGCTGCCCTTCAAACACCACCTCAAGTGCATCCTCACATTGTGATCTTATGGCCTCCTGCTTTATCGGACTTCCTTGCCCTGTGTCTCTGGCAATCTCTGCCTCCACTGCACCCCCTGTCTCAGAGCTTATGTGCTCCTCCACTGTCCCCTCCTGTACGTGGCTTACTTTCTTAGTGACATCTTCAATCTCTGCCTCCACTGCCTCTTCACTCTGGGATATTACATTCCCTTCTACTGCTCCCTCTTGAACCTGGCTTTCTTTGTCAGGCTGCCCTGTAGTCACTGCCTGAACTGCATCCTCACTGATTGAACTTACCTTTTCCTCCACCTCCTCCTGCTGTCCTGGATTTTCTCTCTCAGTGACATCCACCAACTCTGCTTCCACTGCACTTGCACTCTGCAAACTTACCATCTCTACTGCCTCTTGCTCTACATGACCTTTATCAGGCTGCACTGCAGACACTACCTCTACTGCATCTTCACTCAGCAAGCTTACTTTTTCCTCTGTTGTCTCCTGCTGTACCTGATCATCTTCCTCTGTGTCACTAGTAAAGTCTGCCTCCACTGCACCTTCCTTCTCAGAACTTACCTTCTCCTTCACTGTCTCCTCTTGAACCTGGCATTTTATATCAGTCTGCCCTGCAGACATAGCTTCAACTGTATCCTCACACTGAGAATTTACTTTCTCTTCCACAACCTCCAGCTGTATTTTACTTTCCTTCTCAGTAATGGGTTCAGTCTCTGGTTCCACTGCATCTTCACTCTGGTGGGATGTTAATCTCTCCTCTACTGCCTCCTCTGGAATCTCACTTTCAGGATCACGGTGCCCTGTAGACACTGCCTCCACTGCATCCTTGCTCAGTGAACTTACCTTCTCCTCCACCTCCTTCTCCTGCACTTGGCTTTCTCTCTCAGTGACAGCTGCAGTCTCTGCCACCACTGCACCCTCACTCTGAAAACTTACCTTTTCCTTCATTGCCTCCTGCTGTGCCAGATTTCTGTTCTCAGGCTGCACTGCAGGCACCATCTCCAGTGCATCCTCCCTCACTGAACTTACATTTTCCTCCACTTCTTTCTGCAGTACCTGGCCTTTACTCTCTGTGTTACTGGCAAATTCTGCCTCTACCACTCCCTCCTTCTCAGAACTTACGTTCTCCTCCACTGGTTCCTCTTGAACCTGACTTTTTATATCAGGCTGCCCTGCAGACACTGTCTCCATTGCAACCTCTTTCTCAAAATCTACTTTCTCCTCCACCTCCTCCTGCATTTGGCTTGTTTTCTTAGTGACATCTTCAGTCTTTGGTTCCACTGCTTCCTCACTCAGGGATATTAAATTCCCTACCACTGCTCCCTCTTGACCCTGACTATCTCTCTCAAGCTTCCCTGGAGACACTGCCTCTGCTGCATCCTCAGTCTGTGAACTTACCTCCTGCTCTGCAACTTGCTTGGGGATCTCACTTCCTTTATCAGTACTCCCAGCTGTGTCTGCCCCCTCTGCATTCTCATTATACACAGTTACTGTCTCCTCCATAACCTCCTTTTGTACTTGACCTTCTTTGCCTATTTTTTCACCAATCTCTGACTTGACTGCATCTTTACCTTGGGAGCTTACTTTCTGGTCCCTGCCCTCATCTTGTATTTGACCTTCTTTTTCAGTGTCTCCTGTAATTTCCAACTTCCCTGCATCTTCACTATGAGAGTATACCTTTTCATCCGCAACCTCCTTTTGCTCTTGACTTTCTTCACCAGGATGCCCTGAAAACTCTGCCTCTCTTGCATCCTGTGTCTGGGCAGGAACTTTCTCTACAGCTGCCTTTTGCACCCGACTTATTGTCTTGGTGTTATCTCCAATCTCCACTTCGTCTTCATGCTCAGAACTTGTTTTCTCCTCCACTGCCTCCCTGTGTTCCTGGCCTTCTTTATTAGGCTGCTCTGCAGATACAGACTCCAGTGCATCCACACCCTGTGAACTTACCTTTTCCTCTGCTATCTTCTCTTGAACCTGAAACTGTTTCTCAGTGTCCCTGGTAAACTCTATTTCTGTTTCACCCTCATTCCCAGAACTTGCCATCTTTGCCATTGCCTCTTTTTTTACCTCACCTTCTTTATAAGGTGACTCTCCTGAAAACTCGACTTCCCCTGCACGCTCACTCTGCAGCCTTACCTCCTTCTCCACACCCTCCTCCTGTTCTTGACTTTCGTTTCCAGTGTTATCTGCAACCTCTACACCATTTTCAGAACTTAGCTTCTTCTCCCCAGCCTCCTCTTGGACCCAACCTTCTTTATCAGGCTGGCCTGGAAACACAGCCTCCAGTGCACACTCACTGTGTGAAATTACCTTCTCTACCACAGACTCCTCTTCTACCTGACTTCCTTGCCCTGGGTCTCTGGCAATCTTTTCCTCCACCACACCCTCCTTCCCAGAACTTACCCTCTCCTCCACTGCCTCTTCCTGTACCTGGCTTGCTTTCTCAGTGACATCAGTCACCTCTGCCTCCACCACATCATCGCTCTGGGATATAAAAATCTCCTCCACTGTCCCTTCTTGAGCCTGACTTTCTTTCTCAGGCTGCCCTGTAGACACTGACTCCCCTACATCCTCACTCAGTGAATTTCCTTTCTCTTCCACCTCCTCCTGTTGTACTAGACATTCTTTCCCTATGTTATCTGCAATCTCTGCTGCCACTGCACCCCCATTCTCAGAACTTGCCTTCTCTTCTACAGCCTCCCTCTGTACCTGGTTTTCTCTCTCAGGCTGCCCTGTAGACATGGCCTCCACTGCATCTTCATGCTGTGAACTTACTTTTTCCTCCACTACCTCCTGCTTTACCTGATCAACTTCCTCCGCACCTGTAGCAAACTCTGAAGTCTCTTTTTCAGAACTTACTTTCTCTTCCACTTCCTCCTCCTGTACTTGAATTTCTTTTTCAGTGTTAGCTGCAATCTCTGCCTTCCCTGCACCCTCACTCTGAGAAATTACATTCTCCTCCAATTCTTCTGTTTTGCCACCAAACCCTGACTGCCCTGCATCTTGACTTTGGGAACTTACCTTCTCATCAATACCCTCCTCCTGCATCTGATCATCTTTTTCAACATTCCCACGAATCTCTGCCTCCATTACAAGTTCAACCTGGGAACTCACCTCTTCCACAGCCTCCTGCTGTGCCTGGCTTGCTCTCTCAAGATGCCCTGCCAGCTCTGCCTCTTCACTCTGGACACTTACCTTTTCCTCCACAGCACCCTCTTGAGCCTGACTTTCTATTGCAGTGCTATTGGCAGGATCTGCCATCACTGCATTTTTGTTAAGTAAAGTGATCTTATCCTCCATAACCTCCTTTTGTAGTGGACTTTTTTCCCCGGTTATTCCACCAAACTCTGTCTCCATTCCATCCTCATTCTGGGGACTTACCTTCATTTCCACAGCCTCCTCTGGTACCCCACTGTCTTTTTCTGTGTTCCCTCCAAACTCTGCCTCCACTTCATTTTCATTCTTGAAAGTTACCTTCTCCTCCATAGCCTCTTCTTGTACCTGACTTTCTTTTTCAGTTTTCCCCCCAAACTCTGCCTCCACTGTATTTTCATTTTGGGAAATTATTTTTTCCTCTACAGCCTCTTCTTCCCTAGGAGTAGAAGATTGGGACTCCTTTTTATCAGTCGTGTCTGTAAAGATAATTTTTTCACTAATGGTTTCAGGAATGTTAGGCATGTCGACAGTTGTTCCTTCATCATTTGCCTTTCCAGCATCATAACATTCTTCCTGGGAAATATTTTCTGCCAAAACAACCACCTCTTCATTTTGAGTTTCAGTATCTGATATTTCCGTAAGGGTGGTGGATGGTTTCTTAGCTGGGGTGGTTTGTGTTGATCCTGAAGGGGTCTTCAAGTCAGTTAAACTGGACACACTTTCACAAGGCATGTTGAGACTGTCCTCAAAAAGGTTGTGTTTCTTCAAGCTGGCAGCTTCTTTTATCACTGATTAGGACAAAAAGATGAAAATGATTTGAAAAAACTGATATTTTAAGAACACTCTAAATAAAGAATTTACTCTCCAACCCTTCAAACGTCATAAATTATTCATAAAAGCCTCATTTTAACTTTTGCTACACATTTTATTAATCTTGAACAAGAAAACTTGATTAGGAAGTTATACTTGCCATTTTTCTTGCACTCACGGAATACTAGTGTTGGTTTCACATAGCAATAGGGGGACATTAAAATCTAAAATTATTTTAATTGAAATTTAAGATATTATAAGGCCAATTCGATTCATTGAGAGTTTGTACACAATATATAAATTACAAAGCCTACATTTGGGGCCAGCAGTACAACCAGGGGACCATCTAAAATTGGTTGTGGAATACAGAGCATCTTTTTTTTTTTATCACAGATATATATTATCAACATTTTTTTCTATCTTTGATGTGCACAAAGGCACAGGTGCATACAGAGTACTGCTATGGTGGCAATCATATTTTTGACAGAATATTTAATTCTGAGAAATTTAGTCCAACAGCCATGAGACATTGCTAATTCTCTGCAAACATTTAATTGCTGGGCTATCTGGTCATCTGGAGCCAAAGTACACCGAAGGTGCAAAATCTTGAGTAGAGAAACATTTTAGCCAAAAATGACTCTTGAGATCAAGATTTTATGAAGTTAATATTTCTGTTCAAACCGCTGCTTGCCCTATCTCTGTCATGAGCTGAACTAAGGCCCCAGAATCTTAATGCTTCCAATCTTTAGGAAGATTGGGACCTAGATCTGAGCAAGATAGCCCAGGGAGGAAACAAGTTGTCTTTGTGCCACTACAAAAATTTCTATTGCAGCACAAAGGCCAAGCCAACAGACATCCATGCACATTGTCATGCCACAGATGCTCACAATTTGTGGGCACGAAGATGGTAATACTTTCTGTCACTTTATTGTGGCAGACACCTGTTTGCTTTAGGGCCCAGAGTTGTCAGCCTCAGGCAGGTGCTCCCATAGCTTGAGAGGCCTGATCCTGCATATCCCCAAATTCTCCTGTAAGATCAGGCCCCTCAAGCCCCGGGAGTGACTGCCCAGCTTTCCCCTTACAGAGACATGATCTGGGCAATCTCCTTAGTATACCTCTGTAAGCATGGAAACCCAGCTTTCCCAGATTAACATGCCTTGGACATTCCCCAGGGCATGCCTCTACAAGTGGAGAAAGCTGGGGTTCCATGCTTAGAGAGGTGCCCAAGGGAATCTACAAGGCACATCTCCGTAAGCTGGAGCTCCACGCTTACAGACAAGTCCTGGGGGGAAACTGCAAGATGCATCTTTAAGTGACTTTCCCCACTTAAAGATTGCCTGGGGCATGTCTCTCCAAGCAAGAAACCCAAGCTTGCAGAGAGATGCCATGGGGAATCTCCAAGGTGCACCTCTGTAAGCGGAGAATGTCTCCCATTATTCTGCAGGGTCAGGCAAGATGCATCCTGCCACAGCTAATCAACTTCATTTGGCAACATCACAAGGTCCCTTCCAACCCTAATGTCTATGAAATCTTTGAAATCTGTTTATAGCCTCAGAGCTCCAGCTAGCTTCAGACCCACACTCTGAGCATTATTGCTATCACCTCAAACCAATTCGTACCTTTTAAGGTTTCATCAAGCAAGGTGTGATATAAAATTTCTTCATAGACATTCTCTACTTGTATCACACTGGTATAATCTGCAAAGATAAACTGTTCATATTTCTGCAGCTCCTGTGAAAAGAAACAAGGAAAAGAAGTCCAAAAATGCAGCATTCTGAAGTCCCTAAGAATCTGTCACCCCAACATGGAACAGAACCCTACTACCTCTCATTTAAGAGATACATCAATGCTACTAGTTCTCTAGGGTTAAATTAGTTGCATATGCTCAGAGTCATATATTTAATAGCACTTACCATATTGTATTGAAAGAATTTAGAGTTCATAAGCATTAGAAGGAGTGTACTTGGTAGTCATGTTGGTCTGAGACAAGAAGACAT